GATAAAATCTAAACCAATACCTTAAGCCTTAAGTTAAATAACATTTTCTCTCTGGTATGAAAGTTTCAAATTCTAATATTCTTATATCTTTAGATGCGACCTCGTTATTTACAAATATTCCTCTGAATCTAGCATTGGAGAGTATCAAAAAAAGATGGTCACATATTAGAGAAGGTACTAACATACCGAAAAAAGAATTTTTAATTGCCATTGAATTAATTTTGTCATCCACATACTTTAACTTTAACAACGCTATATACAAACAAACTTTTGGTACTCCCATGGGATCTCCATTATCCCCAATTATAGCTGACATGGTTATGCAAGATTTAGAGGAAACAATTTTAGAATCGATTGGTTTCAATTTGCCGTTCTATTTTCGTTATGTTGATGACATAATTATGTCGATTCCACGTGACAAGGCTCAATACATCCTAGATAAATTTAATAATTACCATGATAGGCTTAAGTTTACAATCGAATATGAAAATGACCGTACGTTGAGTTTTTTAGATCTAAAATTACATATTATTAATGACACTATCCACATAGATTGGTATCACAAGGATACATTCTCTGGTAGATATCTATCCTACTATTCGAACCATCCAGAGTGTCATAAAATTGGCACGATATACAGTTTAGTGGACAGGTCCATACTATTGTCCCACCCTATATTCCAAGCAAAGAACATAAAATTGTGTATTAACATACTAATGAACAACGGTTATCCTATAGATTTGATCTTTAAGAGAATTAACATAAGATTAAGGACATTATTCGATGGTAAACTTAAACAGAACAAAAATGCGAATAGAGTTGACACTAATGTTGATGTTGATAATGACTCGGAAGAAAATAGAAGGAAAATTATTGTTATTCCGTTCATTAACAACATCTCTGAAAAAACAGCACATCTTTTCGATAAAAAAGAACATATAATAGGGTATAGAGTCCTCAACAAATTGGACAAGTTTATCAAAACACATAAAGATACCAATGCATTATGCTCGAACAACAATGTAATTTATAAAATCAAATGTAATGATTGCGACGCCTCTTACGTGGGGCAAACAAAGCGACAACTGAAAACAAGAATCAACGAACACAAAAACAATTATAAATTGGACCCATCCAGACATTCAGTCATTACAGAACATATACTTAATTTGAATCATAGTTTTAATTGGAACAACCCGGAGATTTTAGATTTCGAAACGAATTACTACAAGAGACTAATATCAGAGATGATATACATCAAAGAACAAAAAAATGGTATTAATTCCAATAAAGACACTGAATTGCTGGATGGTTCTTATTTTAACATCCTAAACGAACTTAGTAACAACTCATAGGGAGTTAAACATTGGTCTATTTACATCATTGTTGTCAACCGATTCCGACACGGAACGAAAATGCTCAGTCACACACAAGATTCGACACGATACAGTTCTTTCTGAAAACTTTACTAACTCGAATTTGCTATGGTCTCAGTACGTATAAGTGCAATAATAGCCTTAGATTTACCCACGTTGATAAGTTTTAATTTATAATTTTTACAAAAAAATTAATTTAACCATTGACTCTTGATTACAGTTTACACTTTCATCGTAATTATTGACTCTTGATTGTGACGGACAAAAAATCACAGATTGACTCGATTCGTTCTCACTGCCGACTGAGGAATTAATCATGGATTTTATCATTCGACGTTTAATTAAGATTGATACACAACGATTCCGAATTTTTGTTCAGCAAGTATACACCTTGTCAATACTTTAAGGACTTCATCAGTATGTAATAATTTAGATCTCAATGTTATCTGTATGTTAATTTCGATGTGGAAATTTGTTACTCTTGACACATGATTCGTGGCATTTCAATTAATTGTTAAAATTGGCTGAGGAAGGCACAGTGTTGCCGAAACGTATTGTAATGTTACATTAATAAATTTTGAATTTTAACGTCTAACATTGCTCGTTATTGGCCGGCAACCTATTTATTATTTTGTTATTTTGTGCGTCGGAATTTATTATTTTAACATAAAATAA